CCCGTAACGGGGCATGCCTCTTATCGTAATACTGCTTCTGCAGAAGCTACTGTTCTCGTTATCTGAGAAACATCATCTCTCAACGTCCCTAGGTCTTGGCGTTGCTCGCATGTAACCTCTGACGTGAGAAATGCGTCACTTAAGCCACGGGGGCGATAACCAAACAAACATTCATAAGGGTAGGTTGTACAACAGGCAGTTAAAATGCAATCTTAGTTTAACCTATGAACCTCGTTGTATGATAATCGGTTACTGTTAAATATAGTTTTAAAAGTGACATTTGTACGGTAAATATAACCAGTTAAAAAATAAACTAATGGTTAAACTAAGTTTACATCATTCTTTGTACAACCTGTCCTAGGTGATTTTATGGTGGTGAAATTAACTGTCGAATTAATTCCAAACGTAACTTTGCTCACAGCTTCATCCCAACGGGATTCGTCTTCTACTTGACCGTTAGCCCGATGGGTCAAAGTAGTACATTCTACATGTTTAATACCTAACGTTAAATATACTTGTTTAACACCTACAGTTAAACATACCTGTTTCTACAGTTAAACAGTATTCCTTAAAATTCTTTTTCATAAAATAAGTGTCACCGTCGCAAATAAAACTGCGAAGAACCCCGAATATTTCTATTACCTCATCTAGAAATTGCAGTACAGGCACCGGCTCAATTGTTGTATTTTTGTACCGCTTTTTTTAAAAAAATACAAATTTCGTAAATTAAAGCCGTCAAGTGCTACGATGAGATAGGAGTTTTTCCTAATAGTCTTATACAAATTTCTTAAAGCCGTTAATTAATATGGTGAGATACGTGTTTTCCTAACACTCTTATAAAAATTTCTTAAAGCAGTTAATTGATGTGAAGAGATACGAATTTTCCTAGCACTCTTATAAAAATTTCTTAAAGCAGTTAATTGATATGATGAGATACGAGTTATCCTAATGCTCTTATAAAAATTTCGTAATGTCATCAACTGCTAAATGACCTATCATGAGGATGCTGCAATGTACTAATATTAGAGTTATTCGTCGTGCTGTTTTTGGAATAAATCATCTCTTTCTTTTTGCTGTTTTTCGAAAGTCGTTTTATCCTTTAAACAGTACTCTTTATGAATTTGTCGTTCACCGTTTGTCATTATCTTTAGGATCTCGTGACAAAACATTGATAATATTGTTACAAGTGATGTCTTGCAGTTGTGCTGAAAGTATTCTTCCTCAATATTTACTATCATTACGTTAAATTATTCGGCTAACACCGGCCGATATAAGAGAAGCTCCTCTTGGCGACGTCAACTACATTAAATCTGTAGGTTGGCTCACGAGCTAGGAGATGCCTATCATCTAAGGAGGATGCACAATAGACCTAATGAGGCCTAAGTGCAGTGGGGGGTAACCCACCCTCCACACGTTACAGATACGTTACAGATACAGATACGTTACAGATACGTTACAGATACAGATAAGTTACAGATACAGATACGTTACAGATACAGATACGTTACAGATACAGATACGTTACAGATACAGATACGTTACAGATACAGATACGTTACAGATACAGATACGTTACAGATACAGATACGTTACAGATACAGATACGTTACAGATACAGATACGTTACAGATACAGATACGTTACAGATACAGATACGTTACAGATACAGATAATAATAATAATAATAATAATAATAATAATAATAATAATAATAATAATAATAATAATAATAATAATAATAATAATAATAATAATAATAATAATAATAATAATAATAATAATAATAATAATAATAATAATAATAATAATAATAATAATAATACTCTCCCTAATTCACCCCCTTACGAGTGAATTTTAACCCCAAAAGCTGAGCTTGTCCGGGGAAAGGGACGGCTATTATTATTATTTGCCGTGGCGCTCCGGGGCGGCTTAAAGATGATTGCTGGTGCCATTTGACTTACAGGTGAGGAAAACCCGGAAAACCTCACCCACCATCATCGAGACGGTAATGTATGGCGAATTTTTTTAATCTGCATGTCATATCAACAGAAATTGAATTTCTATTAATACGCCACACATCAAATCCTAAACCGAACCATGCAATTTAATTAAAAATCCACATGGTCTGGTCTGGGATTCGAAACCCAGCAGTCTCAGACTCAGATACGTTACAGATACAGATACGTTACAGATACAGATACGTTACAGATACAGATACGTTACAGATACAGATACGTTACAGATACGTTACAGATACAGATATGTTACAGATACAGATACGTTACAGATAAAGATACGTTACAGATACAGATACGTTACAGATACAGATACGTTACAGATACAGATACGTTAAGTGATTTATCCATAAGTATAGTGGTACTTCGGCTCAGAGCGCCTACGTGGCTGATCTTAGTGTCACAACGATGTTTAATGCCAAAATCGAATTCTTGAATTAATAACCACTATTTGCGATGCGAAGAATCAAGTCTCGTTTCACATGGGTGTCACGAAGTAAGTTACAATCGGTAACGATTTTAACTTTATGCCACTTAAAACAGAACTTTTTAAATGCGCGTACAGCCGCCAAAGTTTCAAGCTCATGAATAATATTTTTACTTTCCTTTGCTTGTGGCTCTACTAAATATTAGTAGCCTAAAGTGCTGTCATTTTGACGTTCTAGAAGTATTCCTACTGGTCCGACTTTACTGGTGTCACAATGTTCTTCAGTTTTCACTTATCTGTTATAAATAGTATATATGGATCGTTCTACTAGCTTCTTTATTTTTAAAATCGCCGAATTTCGTTGATATCCTTAGGTGCGGCAAAGTCTGCTACAGTGTCCTTGGTGTGTCGACTTCCATTCCGATTTGGGCGTCTTTTGCAGGTGTTTCCTCATCCTGCCTCTTTCTAGGGGTCTTTCATCCTCCTCTCCGCCATGGGTCTTCATCCTCCATCCACCGGTCTTCATTATTCATTCTCCGTTGTGGGTCTAGATATTTTGTTCATAATCCTTTATATAACAGCAGAAGCATTTACCAAAATAAAAGTCATACCGTATGAACCGTACATTACAGGTTCACTATCGGTTAGTGTGATCAACATTGCCGTAAGAGTCGTTTTAGCAACCTGTCCTAAATTAGTAGCGAAACAATACATAATATACTCGTTAAATAATTTAAGTAATTTAGAACGTTCAATGCTCTTTAATTCTAAATTAGTTTGATTTTCAAGCTCTAATAATGTAAAATTTAGTAAATCAGCAATTTTTGTTGCTAAGCAAGTTTTATCTCCGGTACATGAAGAACATCTAGTAAGTATTGTCGTTTTCGTAACAAACAGACAGGAATACAGCAACAATTGTTCATATTAATAACACACGGTACATTAATGTGAAAATGATTATCTTAATTTATATATCTTAAATCAACAAAAACATCTTAGCTCTACAAAAATATCTTAGATCATCAAAAACACCCCTAACGTTTTCATTTTTAATTGGAGAAATGTCATCTACAAAATTCTACGGAATAATAGTAGTTTCTTCTACACATAAATTAATTTTCTTAGACAAAGACTCGTTAATATGCGTAACGTTGACGTTATTTTAATTAAAATATGTCATACTTGGTTACATCTAACGAAAACTGTAACCATATCATTATTTAAAAATGGCTAACCTATAATAACTAGGACATCCTGTATATTATCCGGTACGTCAACAGTAGAAGTAGCTAAATCAACATTCAAATTTGTCGTAACCTTTGAAGGTACTATAATAAAATCTCCCGCATAACCATACAAACGTACTAATTTGGGCTAACCCTGTAGATGTAACTTATGACTTCATCAAGAATTCACGAATTGTAACTGCAGCACAACCCGAGTCTACAAAGCTTCGTATAGGTTCATCGTTAAGAACACAATCAGTGAAATAGCAAGTACTAGACGCCTGATTATTAGATAAAAATAAAATTGGTTTTGACTCACCCTTATTTTGTCGTTCAGCTGGTCTTTTACCTGCGTTTACGGTGCAACGCTCTGCCTGTGTCCTAACAGATGGCTTTTTGTGCAATTAAAACGTGGTTGATACTTTCCTCACGTATCATTGACAGATATTCTTCAAAAATGCATCTGGTTTTTCGTAACGTCTGCGCGAATAGCATTTTAGATGGTGACTTGGGATTTCGTCTTAACAATCTCTCTTCAACTGTTTAATTTTAGCTTCGTATATAACTTTGTTGACTGGAACACGTATCTAAACCGCGAGATGTGCTTGGTATTATATTTTCTCGCGACATACATAACTATCGCTTTTTTATACGGTCCTTTTGTTAAAAGGTGACCTATTATCACTAATGTCTCGTCCCGTCGGAGTCTAATTACATTCAGATCGAGTACGCCTAAGATCGGTTTATAAATATGGGACTAAGAGCTTTGTCCATAGTTCTTAACACGATCATAACACGAAGATCTTACTAACTTAACACGAATCACTAAATAACTTATCTAATGATTAAATCCTTTTTAGTCACGTAACAACAAACAGTTTTTGCACGCCCTGTATATAAAACCACTCATTCTCATCGCGTACGTTTTTCTGGTAAGCCGTAAGTTCACCTCACACCTGAACTGTAAACTACACAAATAATTAAATGTTTATTTTACGTATGAAGTTTATTAATATTAAAATAACGTTACAAAAATAATAATTATTAAAATAAATGGAATAATTTAATTTTAATGAAAAATTTCAAAACGTGTAAAACTTATTTTGCACGCCGATGAAAAGCATAATTTAAATATGTTCGTGATGTTAATACACATATTTCTGTGCATCAGGTATTCTAAATATCAGAAGCCAATTCGATTTCTTCCATATTACCAGACATTCACGTTATTTAACTAACTTATCACGTTTACTATGACATATTTACATCTAAACCTTCAAAATCGTTATCAGTACTCACTGGTTTATCAATTAATTAGATTATATTTTTCAGAATGCTTTTAGAAAAAGAAGTGCCACAACAACTTGCTGAAGCTTTCCCCGATCTTCCATATTTAGTTAATAAACCTGACAAACCATACATTTTCACGATACCTGTAGCAGAGACAGTTTTCGATTATAGGTTTATCAAAGAAGTAAGTTATGATAGTGATTTTAAATGCATATAGAATTTTATCTCTGGCATGCTCCTACATTCACCAATATCCATTACTGATCATTTTCTGCCATTTTCTAAATTTTGGAATGTCAAACTTTAAATTGCAACCACTGCTAATTTTTCTATTAATTGATTTAATATTTTAACCCTTAGTTGAGCGCGCCCGAGGTATGCTTGAAGTACGCCTGAAAGCTCAAAGTACGCTTAAAGTACACCTGAAGTATGCCTATAGTATGCCCAAAGTACGCCTAAAGTACGCCTAAAGTACGCCTAAAGTACTACTAAAGTACACTTAAAGTACGCTTAAAGTACGCCTAAAGTACGCTGAAAGTATGCCTGAAGTGCGCCCAAAGAAAATAATGTATTAACGTTTTTTTTTTTAAATAGTTATAAATAAAATGTAAGAGCAATGCATACATTTTTTGTGGCACTTTAGCAGCGATAGATAATTCTTTACTAAGTTGTCCGATTTCTATGATTTTTTTTTTGTTAGAAAGGGGGTATCTAAGGTATAGTTCCATATAAAATTGGTCAGGATCTAATGATCTATGAGAAAATCAAAAATCTAAATTTTTAAGGCCATCTGCACGATTTTAAAGTTGGTTTTTTAATAAAAAAATATAATGTAGTCAATTTTTTCAATAATTCTGGACAAAATTAACTGTGATGATTGTTTTATATGAGCGAACATTTCTCACAGAAAGGCAGAATGTCAACATTGTTTTCTTCCATTCCTCAAATATTGTCCTTTAAATTAAAAAAAAAATGTTTACAGTAACTGATGTGGTGTAGAAACAAGTAACATTTTTCGATAGCTCTTTTATTATTAGAAATATGAAGAAATTTTTAATACAAATAACTATATTTCTAAATATACAGGGCAGTTTAGAAATAACCATAAAAAAACCAAACACCCTTTGTATTAATTAATTTTGGAAATCTGTATACTTTTGCAGCTCTATCAATAAGATATTAAAATGCAGTAATATACAGAGTGTTCCATTGAAAAAGGATGGTAAATGTTACAAGAGCAAAAAGACGTCCCTCTTTATATGATTGTTGACCTATTTTTGTATTTTTTTCATAAAAAAATGTGAGTAACGATACAAAAAGTTACCTATAGTAAAAGCTTAGATTAAAGAGACCGAAGATGAAACATTGCACATTACGCATGTTGTCTATTTTAACCCCAAGTAACCCACCAATTGAAAATTTGTATTGTTCTATTAAGGGCAAAGGAAAATGGAAACTATGGACCGACGAGTTAAATACATGTCCTCCTATCCCCAGGGATATTCCTGTTAACCAAATCATAGTAACTACGGTGGAAACAATCAGAAACATTGCCATAATGCAATTGCTGATCCAACATGATAAACACATGATGATAATTGGTCCCACTGGAACAGGAAAATCAGTTTATATCACGGTGAGTATTTTATTTTAAAAAGTTAATTTATTCTGGTAAAATTGTTACGGTTTCAAAATTCCTACTTTATATTACTTTCGAACTAATATAATAGTTCGTCGACGTTCCTGAGCTCCAGGTCAGCTGTGGGTCAATTTAGACATCATAATCGTGATCAGGGACCTCGAAAACCCCTGAGCACCCGATCTGGACTAGTTGTGACACTTATTTAACAAGTTTTGAAATCATCCAAGAGGCCTCTCAAATAATGCATTTTTTGAATGCATTTTTGGCTGCAGCAATGCAATTTCCGATTTGTATGACCCGGAAATTACGGGGAATGATACAAATAATTTTTGCAAGCGAATGCAAAAAACCACATTCCGATCCGATTTGCACGGAAAAACCCAGGAACTTTGGTCTTTTTAGTCCTTCATTGCTTCGACTAATACGAATTGATTAGAAGCAGTTGCAGTACGTGTATACCTAGCTTTTTATACCAGCGAAGTGTTTTTTTCTCACATGGATAATATGAGAGCAGCTTAGGCTTTTCGCGGTCCCTTCCTAATCTATCTTGATATGCCAGCATCTCGTTTTCAAATTCCGTAGAAATATATGCCACTTCCCTCTTATCTCGACATTTACCAATAAGAACTCCATCATCGCTGTATTTGGTGACGGTTTCTCCCTTTTCAATTTTGCAGTTTTTAATTGAGTTGGAGTGTTCTTGCGGTTTAGTAGCTTTACAGCAAGATCATGGCTGTTGTAGAAATTGTCCATATAAACTGAATGTCCAACATCTGACCGTCCATCCAATAAATGAAGTAAACATTTGCCGCGTGACTCTTGCCTCCTAAGTCGTTCAGCTGACCAGTGTAGACGTCAGAGTTCAAAATTGTGCCATCAGACTCTGTGAGAACGTACAATTTTACCCCATACTTATGCCGTTTGTTCTTGATGTATTGGCGAAATGCAGTCTACCCCTCCACAACACCATGGACTCGTCGAGCGAAATGTCTTTTCCCGGGTAATACACCTCCTTCATTTTTTGATTAAAATAATCTATTATGGGCCTAATTTAAAAAAGCCGATCTTCCGGAACGCCCTGTCCTTCTTTTGGGTTCTGGGCGAAATGCAAACACCTAAAATTAAATTATCGTCGTAAATAACATTATTTCAATAAATAAACTTCAATCTTAACCTCATGATGAGAACAAATCTATCTCTATTCATAGCCGACGAAAAAAAAAGGCATACTAAAAAATTTGGAAGTTTTCCAATAATCTTGAATTCTATTCATGTGCCCATGTGCAAAAGCACGCCAAAGAATACACGCATTTCTTCTGCAGTAACCTCGCGCCAATGAGTAATCTGCGACGACTCAGATGTTCTTGGTGAAAGAAACATTTCCTGAGCGTATCTATTTGTTTCTGTAGCTATTAACTCAGAAAAACCATCATCAACCAGCATATTGAAAAAATCAATGGGTTCGGTACCTATAAAAATAAACATATACTATAATATAATTTGAAAAATTAGAAACTCACCAACGGACTCAACCAGAAATTCCTGTTTTTAGTAAAGGGTATGTTTTTCATTGCAGGCTTGTCTGACCATTGGGGGGTTGATGGGGCCGCAGGAACTGTAGGTAGGTGCTGCAGTAATATTTTTATTTGCAGCACTTTTATTTTGAGGGTCCGAATCGCGACGCGGCGGAACATAATCTTCGTCTGAAGACTCCACTCATGCGTAGTAATCAGCATCCGAATTACCTTCTTCTAGATTCACATCATCCTCCGATTCATATAACATTTGTTCCAACTCCCTTTCAGATAACGGTTCTGGATAATCTTTTTTGGAAGTAGTTCTGATCCTTTTCGCCTTAGAAAGTCCCGCCCCTTCATCCGCTATCACTATTTTTTAATTTTCAATCCAGTACAACCACTATCACGTAAAAAGTAAACTGCACCCGAATAGTGCAGAGCTACAACAACTGGATACCAGTGGACGCTCGAAAATGTATTATTCACTGTTTTACCATCAGCTGACTCCACCACTTTACCCCTACATCACAAACTCTTTTTTCAATCAGTTGCGACCACACTCACGTAAAATGAACTCTATTGCTGCACTGCTAACCTTTCGTTATCGCTTGAAAGCATGTTGGGACAAATGACTTATTTATAAGCACATGGCAAATATAGCGCATGACTTATTAATGAGCAATCGTAAAGGATATGCTCGATGGTCTCATCTTCTTGTTCGCACCGTCTACAGAGTGCGGATTCTGCCAGCTCTCTGTAGACATCCCCTTCCATCCAAGCCTCTTATATTCACTTCTTCTTCACTTATGCTTACTGCTCGCTTTGAGGGCAGGTTATGTATTCACCCACTAACTAACTGTGGAACATTCCTGTTGGTTAGTGCACTCACTGGGAAGGTGGTTTTATCAAAAGCACTCAAGGCGGACTCCTTATTGTCTCCAGGGATCTCTATCCGGCCAGCAACTAAATCAGTAGATCTGCCTGGGGTGTATGCATGTTGGTTTAGGTGTAGTGGTGTTGTTGTAATCACCGTATCCCTTATGTACCTTTCACATAGCCTTTCCCATGCATCTCTCTGTTTTTGTCTGATTATTTTTTATATTCTCTAAGGTGAGATTTGTAAGTATCCCAGTCTTCTTTGAGATTTGTGGAGCTTGCCTTATTAAAGAATTTCCTAGCCATCTTCCTGAGGTGATCCAACTCGTGACACCACCATGCGATAGTCCTCTGATCGTGTTGAACCAGCCTCGGAGGACAGGATTTTTTATAGGAATTGTTTATTGTGTTTTGGATAGCTTTCGAATACTTCTTCAAAACATTGTTATTGTTTGGTGTTTCAGCCCCCATCTCTCTCAGAGCTTCTTGGAGAAGGTGGGCATATGTTGCCCTATCCGTCTTCCTAGGGTTCCGAGATAGCACGGAAGTCGGCAACATAAAGTTTATTTTGAATGTCAACCAGCGGTGATCTGACATCGAAATGTTATTAGACACTTGCCAGTTTAGAATTGATTTATAGATACCAGTTGTGGATAAAGTAATATCAATTAGTGTTTAACTGCGAAAGTTTAAAAATGTTGGTGTAGTACCTTTATTCAAAATAGAAAGATTTTTGGTAATTATATAATCATAAAGTGACATCTCTAGCGTTGTTATCCTTACTGCCCCAACTGAAGTGATGAGCGTTTAAGTCGCAACTTATTACCAGCTAAAGCTTCTGTTCCAGGCAGTATTCAATCAGATCCTCCATTTTTTATTGGGTAGTGACGTTGTTGCCTCGGAGAGGAGGTATGCAGATGCCAGCAATAACGTTCTCTTTTCCCTTTTGATGCGTATTCCGTCCTAACCGCAGTTAAATCGAAGGTGGAAAGGTGTGCCATTGAGTGGGCTTTATATTTCCTAGAAATGTAAATGGCTATCCTAAGTTGTTGGTTCCTGGGGAAGCTAAAAATTGAACCATTTAGATTTTTAAGACCTAAAATTTTGGTTTTTATTATCCAGGGTTCCTGGATGAGTGCTATTGTATCTTGCACCTCATCAAGGCGGCGGCATAATGTTGCCACAGCCACCCTTTTGTGCTGCAAGTTACAATGTATAAGCGTTACCTCATTTGACTTGAATTAAACTCTCAGGCCAGCTTTTCCAAGCATTCCTGCTTCTGTTTGTTAAAAACTGAATTTGTTTTTTTTTCTTTAAACATTTAAAATATTTTCGTACTAAAATAATAAAATATATTTTTCACGACTAGTGAAATTAGTACATCTTCTGTTTTTTTAACAAAACAGCAAACAAATTTAAGGAAAGTCACGTGGGATGAGATCCGGTAAAAATTGTGGATATTCTAATACAAGAACGTTGTACTGATGACTTTATTTCGTTAATAATCTACTGAAAATGTTCTTTGTTGGTCCCTAGGAATTCAGCAGTAGCACCAATATTTAATGTCTGCATCAGCTTTTGACGTACTGGTCGTTTGCTATTATTTTTCTTTTCTTTTTTAATTATTTGACACCTGTAATAACAATTGTATTTTTTGTATTTCAGGATTTCTTGCTGAAGAAGAACACGAAACAATACATACCGTTATTTATTAATTTCTCCGCGCAAACAACAGCCAATCAAACCCAAAATGTCATTATGGCAAAATTGGACAAACGGCGTAAAGGTAAAGTCCTAATAATGAAAAAATATGTTGAAAAAAAATATTTAATTTTGTAGGAGTATTTGGTCCACCTGTTCTAAAACGGTGTGTAATATTTGTTGACGACGTGAATATGCCTGTTAAAGAAATTTATGGAGCGCAACCACCCATAGAATTATTGAGGCAATGGTTCGATCACGAAATGTGGTACGACCTTAAAGAGATTGTACCGATGAAACTTATTGATATTCAGGTAAAATAAAATGTGGCCCAGCAATTTGACGACATTATCATTTAAAAATATTAATTATTAGTTTATTACATACTATATTTATTTAGCAATCGGAAAGATCCAGTATTCAAAATTGACTCAAAATTTATAAAGATTCAAAATTGAGGTTTATGAGTTTACGCAATGAGTATCTGTCAGACATGTCAATTGGCATTCGTGAAAGTGATTGGAAAATAAATTGATGTCAAAATACCAAAAATTTTTAGGATGTACTAATTACCCTAACATTACAAATTAAATTATTAACCAAATAAAATCTTGGAATATTCAAATTCAATTCAGTTTTAAAATAGGAATGTTTTTAATGTCTCCTATACTAGAAAAAATTTATAGAAAAGCCATAATATAGATTATTGTCCTTCTACACGATGTCATAAAGTTGACTTTAAGAAGAATTGAAAGAGCGGAGATGGGATAAGAATTTGTGTGTATCGACGAGAGTTAGAATCTGATTGATTTCAAATATACGAATTCGGATATCAAAGCGTATGTGCTTTGGTAGTTCAATTGGTAAGAAAAGTATAGACGGCTAAAGTCCGAGGTTCTAGGTTCAAGTTCTAGCCAATTTACTTATTTTTTCATTTTTGAAATCGCAGCTTATAAAACTTCCTTTGATTTGTTTTTACTTTAGGATATTTCCTTTCCGAATCATTTAACGATTAAAACATTTATATACAAAATAAAACTAGAGAAAATTTCCTACAATTTATGTAATAATTTTTTTTCTCAAAATCAATAGTTTTGGCGTATGAGCACCTCAAATTGTAGTTTTGGCAAAAAAGCTTATTTCCACACCACCTTGATGTAGAGTAAGCTACGCCAGAGAGGCTAGCCGTGAGAATTCTCTTTTTCGCAGCATCAGCAGCAGCAGTAATGTCAAATGTGAAATGTCATTATTCATTGCCGTTTTTTGATTTTTCAATTTTTTGTATTTTTCGATTTTTCAATTTTTCGATTTTTAGATTTTTCGATTTTTCGATAATTTGATTTTTTGATTTTCCTTCACAGTAACACAATGCCTGTTTTGCCGTTTCCTTCTCTTCCTGACACAATCGGCACAAGGTCTCTTCTATGTTTGTTAAGCCTACAATGCCCTGTTAATAGACCTACTAGTACTCTAGTATTTTTCCTATTAAGGCTCGGTAGTAGATGTTCGGTGAGTTTGGGCGATGGTTTTTTAAGAATTCTTTGGCCTGTCTCTGTTCTGGTGAGTTTTTCCATTACACCTAAGATTTTTTAAACGTCCACTGCTTTGTGCATGTTCTTAAAGTTTTTTCTTTCATCTATGAAGGGTTCTGGGCCAATAAGAGCCTTTGAGGCTCCTTCTCGGGTTAGTGAATTAGCCTCTTCATTGTCTTTATGTCCTCTGAGGCCTTGTACCCAGGTTAGAGTTAGTCTGTTTTGGCTGTTCATCTCTGTTAGGGCTTTTAAACAGTCCGACATAAGATTTGAATGTACCTGCATAAAACGGAGTGCTTTTAACGTCGCTTGACTGTCTGAGTATATGACAATGGTTTTTTCATTTGTCTTTTGTCTTAATACCTCTTTTGCGCAGTGATATATTACTGCTATTTCTGTCTATGAGATTCTTGTCTTAGCTTTGTACTATATACAGGGTGTATCTAAATAACACCGAAAAAATTAAAGGGGTGATTCTGTGATGAAAATTAATGTGAGTGTTTAGTATAAAATTTTTTGAAAAAACCCTCTCCGGAAAAGTTACACCCCTTCGAAAATTAAAAAAAATAATGGTTTTTCTTTTTTATTTTCCCTGTATATCAAGCTAAAGACACGAAACTTGGTAAACATTATCTGTCAATAAAAGTACACTTTTTGAAATTTTTTCAACCCTGAATTATGCTTAGAAGGGGTTGAAATAATCAACCCCTAAGATATTTTTTCTTACAACTTTTTTTTAGATGAAAATTTTTTCTTTAAAAAAGTATGACTGAAAAGCCCAATTCATTGACTAACTTTTTAACTCTACAAGTTTTTTCTAAAACTTGGGCATTTACGAGAAAAAAAATCTAATGCAATGCATTTTCAAAAAGATGAGCTAACGCGAGTGTATTTTGCGTCAAGTGTAGTGGCCTGTGCTTTGCATAAAAACATTAATACTGATACCAGGATTGTGTAGTGTCATTTTCTGTTACCCATCTTATTGTTTCACAAGTTTTATGATTGTGTATTGTAGGAAATATTAGTTGATTGAAAATATGAATGCATATTCGAATTTGGAAATGGCAGATATGCATTTTACATACGGTCGTGCTAACGGTAATTCATTGGAAGCGCAAAGACTTTATGCTGAACAGTACCCACAGCGTAGACTACCCCATCATACTACGTTCACAACTATTCACCGACGCTTGCGGGAACGTGGTAATTTTGAAAAAAGGGGTTATAATTCTGGTCGTACTAGATAAGTTAGAACTGCAGCTGTAGAAGAAGCCGTACTTAATTCAATTGAAGAATTCCCAGAAACTAGTACCAGGAGAATAGCTTGTGTCCTACATGTAAGCCATTCCGTTGTTTTTAGAATTTTAAAAGAACAAATGTTGTATCCCTATCATCTTCAACGGGTGCAGGCGTTAATGATTCGAGATTTTTTACCCCGTGTCAGTGGCTTATTAATATGATTGGCCAAGCACCACAGTTCTTAGGTAATATTTTATTTACTGACGAGGCGAGTTTCTCAAGAGACTGTATTAGAAATTTTCACAACAATCACCTTTGGGCTGACGAAAATTCTCATGGCTTTTTTGAAGGAAATCATCAGTATCAATTTTCATTAAACGTGTGGCTCGGAATTATTGATAATCATTTAATTGGTCCCCATTTTCTTCCGCTACGATTAAATGGTGAAGCATATTGTCATCTCCTTGAGAATTACCTGTTCTTCTTGAAGAGGTTCCCATTCAAATTAGGCAACATTTATGGTTTATGCACGATGGTGCACCAGCTCATTTTAGTATACGTGCAAGAACTCACCTGGATGAGGTGTGTGCCAATCAATGGATAGGTCGAGGAGGACCTGTAAACTGGCCAGCCCGCTCCCCTGACCTTAATCCTTTGGATTTTTGCATATGGGGATATCTGAAATCTTTGATATACACAAACCCAGTTGAAAATATCGATGATCTGCGAAACCGCATTGTAGCAGGGTGTGAAACTATAAGAAATTCTCCAGGAATATTTCATCGTATACGCAATTCTATGAGGAAAAGGGTAGATGCTTGTATTGAAGCTGAAGGCGGTCATTTTCAACATTTATTATAATTTTATTATCGATATTCGACAGGTTTTTGTTCATTGTTTGTTCACTTTTGTTTTTAGTTGTAGAAGTCTTAAGAATCATAATTTGGTTGGCTGTTGTTTAATAAAATGCTATTTTACATGAGCTTATTTATTTTTTTCTCATAAATGCTTAAGTTTTCGAAAAAAACTTGTAGAGATAAAAAAGTTAGTCAATGAATTGGGCTTTTCAGTCATACTTTTTTAAAGAAAAAAATTTCATCTAAAAAAAAGTTGTAAGAAAAAATATCTTAGGTGTTGATTATTTCAACCCCTTCTAAGCATACTTCAGGGTTAAAAAAATTTCAAAAAGTGTACTTTTATTGACAGATAATGTTTACCAAGTTTCGTGTCTTTAGCTTGATATACAGGGAAAATAAAAAAGAAAAACCATTTTTTTTTTTTAATTTTCGAAGGGGTGTAACTTTTCCGGGGAGGGTTTTTTCAAAAAATTTTATACCAAACACTCACATTAATTTTCATCACAGAATCACCCCTTTAATTTTTTCGGTGTTATTTACTCCTGAACCTTCATGGGTTTTGGAGTCGTCTGTATACCAGGTGAATTCTGCATGAATAGGAGGTCCTCTCGTCTACGCTTCCCTGTTTGGTATACTTACTTTATATTGCATTTCGTCTCGAGGCATTCCCATTATTTGATCATTCTCCAACTCTTTATATATATTGCGTCCATGCAAACTGCTTATGGCTGATGAACCTTTGTGCAGTCTGCGACAGACTTGGCTTCGCCTTGAATGAATATATGTAGTTATGTTAGGTTCAGCAAGACTTCTATAGCTGCTACTGGAGTCGTTTTCATAGTTCCCGTAGTATTCAGGCATGATTGCGTATGAATACCATTGAGATGTCGAATGGATGCAGCTTGCCGTGTCTTTGGCCACCATACCACCGACCCGTAGGTTAAAATCGGCCTTATAACTCAGGTGTATAATCATAGGGACATTTTCGGTTATAGTCCCCAATTTTTTCCACACAATCTTCGACATAAGTTGAAGAATGTTGTGCTCTTTTGGGTGACTTTTTGCAAGTGTTAATTCCTTATTAACCTGTGGTCAAAGGTGACTCCCAATTATGTGGCCTCTTAAGCAAATGGAATCTTCACATCTTTCAGTACTGGTGACTTTAGTCCTGTCAGTACTTATCGTTTTGTGAAGTTGACTATTGTGGTTTTGTAAGGATTTACTGGTAGTTCCTCTTTTTTACACCACTCGTCAACAATGTTTAGAGCGGTTTGTGTGTGCTCCGATATTGTAACTTCAATCTTATTTGTATGAAATACCACACTCTGTAAATATGTTTAAATATTTCTGTGTAGTCCAAAAAACAATTATTTTTTTTCTAAAAAATAACATTTTGTTATATTAATTTTACACTTTCAATTTTACACTCAAAAAACCTCTATTTTATTCCCCTTGTAGAAATAATGTTTTCTAAAATCTTCTTATTACAGTTCTGTGGTACTTTAAACCGAATTATCCCATTAAATTTATAATTTGTTTAATATTTTTTAATTTGTTTTCAGTTTATGTGCGCTATGTGTCCTCCAGGCGGTGGAGGTAACGTTATAACCCCACGATTCATGAGACATTTTAATCATGTGTGCATTGATGAGTTCCAAGAATCAGTTTTGATTAATATATTTGGCAAAATTATGCTCTGGCATCTTGACACAAGGTAATTATTAATAAATAGGTAGTTAATTAGTGGACTGTACATAGGTGTTGATTATTTCGATTTCAAGTTGTATGCTTAAAAAAATGTAACTACTAAATACTTTTATTGCTGAAAAAATATGAGTTTGTACATTACATGGAAACAATAACTTATTTACTAAATATCTGTTAATGTTTTGAAAACTAAAGATGTAGCTGTTTGATTTATAATTTAATTTAGGAGTGAATAGTAAATGCCAACATAATGGCGTGTGGCTTCTTAACTAAGCCGTTTGAAAAACCTGTTGCTTTGATGAGATAAGACATTTTTCTATTTTAAAATGAAGCGAAGATGGCTAACATTAACTTATGCAGTGAGAAAGGGTGACGTAATCATCTTCGGTTAAAGTTAGAAAGGTCAGACACAGCGTTAGGAGCAATATGTTAAAACAAACGAATAGCTTGCACAGAAATGTTGAAATTGTTTAACAAAAATAATTTCCAACATTCCAAATTTAATTTTGGGTATTCGCTAGAAACGCGAAAAAATGTATAACTCTTTAATGAGGATATATTTGTGTGACTATAAATGTGGGTGATACCTATTTGAGTTAAAATAAAAATAATACATATTAAACTAACATTATAAATCCCTACTAGTTCATGATAAGAATTAGTTAATAGGGCAACAGTGCATTACCGCGCTATTCAACTGTTAGTTCGTCAGATAGTAACAGGTTTAGATGCCCCATTTTCGCATACAAATCTCGAAGAGAGTTGAGAAGTACATTGATTTTAAGTAGAATAAAAGAAAATTTACAAGTGGCTACTGGGGATAACACATAGAAAATTTAATTTTCCCTAACAAAACCGAAAGGTTATTTGTTGCCCTTTTTTTCCACGCAAGATGTTTTCACTATATGAATAATTAATAGAACTAGGTTTTCGAAAACCAAAGGCTTTAATGATGCAAGTGGCTAAAGGATTGAAATAAGGGCGTAATCCTTTAAGGAAAAATCGAGATTTTAACCGATTTTTACACACAAGCCCATTGAATGTATGAAAACGTACATCGTCACTAGTCCGAAAAATATATTTTCATGAATGACCTGAATGTGGGGTCGGAAATTTTTTCTGATAAGGAAAATCGAATTTTCCATGTGTTATCCCCAAGAGTCACTCGTAAATTTTCTTTTATTCTACTCAAGATCGAAGTACTGTTTAACCCTCTTCGAGGCTTGTATGCTAAAATACGGCACCCAAATCGGTCACTATCTGACGGTCTATGTATCAATAATATGAAAAAGAATTGGTATATACATTTTATGAATAGAAAGTAAGTAATGTTTTTATCTTAAATTATTTAATATAACAATTGTTTACCAGTATATTCCGTATAACTATAATCATCACTGCTACTTCGTCCTATATTGATCACTATAGGATTAATGTTAGTTTCCATATTTTTATGCACTTACTGTTGTTCATATGCCTGTATACAGGGTGTCCCAAATTGTTTTACCCAGGCTATAACTTCTAAACCATGCAAGATAATCGAACCGGACAAAAGTCATCCATTATAATTGGCGGTGTACTTTACTATAAATTAAAATTTGACGACCCACCCTCAAAAACTTACCCCCTGGAAGAACCCCCTCAAAAATTATTAACGACATCCTAATTTTTTTCTGCTCATTTTTGTAGTTGCTACATAAATAAGTGAGAAATTAAATAAAACTGTATGTCAAGTTGATGATAAAAAATACTTTATTAGGTGACACATAATTAAAAAAAATACATTGAAACAAGAGAAGGAGAAGACAAAAAATAAATATCAACAAACAAAGAGTAGTAATAACTTATAATAAGTGCTCAAATTGCCCACCTCCCACTTCCGCATTTTTGTCAAACCTTAACAATAAATTTCTAGTACAGGCAGCTCGAATCATGGCCGGTGTAAATCTGTTACAAGCATGTCTGATTCTATTTTTTAAATCTTCTAAGTTCTCTGGTTTTGTTTCGTATACTACGTACTTTATAGTACCCCAGAAAAAAAAATCTAGAGGCGACAAATCAAGTGACCTAGCCGGCCACTGGATAATTGGAGAATGCGTGGATATAACACGGTTTCCATAAGTGTTTGCCAAATATTGGCTCACAATTTGTGCATTATGAGCTGGTGCACCATCTTGTTGCCACCACATATCACGTCTTTAATTAAGAGGAACACCTTCCAACAACTCAAGAACGGTATTGATTAAAAAATCACGATATCCTATTCCCGTTAGAGTGTTTTCATAAAAATGAGGACCTATAATCCTACCATTGAACAAACCACACCATACGTTTATGCCCCAAATATTTTGAAACCTTACCCAGTGGGGATTTGTTGGGGATCAGTAATTGGAATTATGACGATTTAATACACCATTATTATGGAAATGTGATTCGTCGCTCCATAATATTTTATCTAAGAATGTGGCATTGTCATTTAGTTTCACCTGCATTCTAGCGAGAAAGTCTAGGCGTCTTTTAAGATCATTAGGGAGTAAACCTTGGACCAAGTGTATTTTATAAGGATGATATTTATTGTCTTTTAAAATTCTTTGGATGCTACTTTTGTTTATTCCAATTTCGAGTGCCAAATCTCTGATAGAAACATGTGGATTTACATGAACGTAAGCCAAAACGTGTATAACATTTTCTTCATTTCTGATCATTCTGTTGTGTCCTCCATGATGTTAACCGTCAGGAAAATGTCCTTGCCTAAGACTTCTTTCTAAATTGGAAAACGTTCTAACTGAGGGAATTGCTCTATTCGGAAAACGTTCATAGTATAATTGTCTAGGTTGTCTTGAATTCTTGCGACATTCGCCGTAAATAATTATCATATCGGTGTACTCGTTGGAACTAAACAGATTAGGCCTTTTGAAATAATTTGTTAGGACTTGACAAACTCTAAATTATTGCAAACTTTATTAAGTAAAAACTGCTAACTTTATCGAGTGCACTTTTGTTTGACAAGAGACAGATTGATATAATAATAATAATAATAATAATAATAATAATAATAATAATAATAATAATAATAATAATAATAATAATAATAATAATAATAATAATAATATTAATAAATTTATTTAGCATTCAGTATCCATATACAATAATAAAATACATTAAAAAGTTCAAATAATATGTAAACTGGTCGCCCATTTATGACCAATTGGTTGCGCATGGGCTGCCAAATCATTACCTAATGTTAACTTAATATTGTGTGCTTATTTGATTCTAAAATACATTTAAAAAAAAATATAAAACGGATATTAAAATAACTAGAAACATACAATATAATAACTCAGTTATAGACTTATATAATAATAATAATCATAATAATAATTATAATAATGATAATAAAAATAATTTTAATAATATTAATAATAATAATAATAATAATAATAATAAAAACAATAAATTGAATATATTTTAATAATTAGAATAAGTGAACAAAAAAAAACCAATAAAAGTAATTTATAAACTATAGTGGATTAAAAGGAAGTATATTTTACAGTACAAACACCAAGATCTAATAACACATTTTATCACAGTTAAATTTTTCTTTTTTTTTTGCTAATCGATCAGCGCTCTCATAGCTTTTCTGTCACTATTTATTATGAATTTTTTCAATATTTGTTTAAATAGCTTAGAGGAATTTATTGTATATAAATGTCTTATATATATCTGGAAGAAAATTAAAGATTTTTCCATTTAAATATAGGTAAAATCTTTGGGAAATTGATTTATTGACAAGGTGAGTATATACTAAATATTTATTTCTGGTGTTGTAAGAATATGTTCTTTTCTGTAAATTGTGTTTATTTTTGTATGTATATAAAGTGACTGCATATACATACAGCTGTCTAACATCCATAATTTTGACTTCATCAAACAAATGATCTGTGGGGTATCTAACCTTTTTATTATGTATTATTTTTAGTATTCTTTTTTGTAATATTTCCAATTTGTTAATATGATTTTTTGTTGCGCCACCCCAACAGATGATAGCATACTGAAGTCTACTTTGAAACAACGAGTAATAAATAATTCTTAGGTATGTAGTACTGATTATAGTTTTAAGATATTTAAATTTAAATAATAACATTCTTAAGGTGTTAGTTAAGCTATTTATGTGTTTATCCCATCGTAAGTGACAATCCAAGGTAACGCCTAAATATTTTATTTCATTTTTTTTTTGTAGTGTGAGTGTTTCGTTGTTATATGTAAAACTGAGGTCATTAAAAGATGGTAAATGATTAATATAGCTAGCAAAAGGCAAAAAAAATGATTTTGTATAATTTATTGTTAGTTTCTTATGCGTACACCAATCCACTATTCCTTTTATATCATTTTCGCATATTTTTTTTAATTCCTCCCATGAGTCGGCTTCATAATAAATGGCTGTGTCGTCGGCAAAACTCACTATTTGTCCTGCAGTCTTTTGTATGTATAAGTTGTTTACATATATTGAAAATAATGTGGGTCCTAAGACGGTACCTTGGGGAACACCAGTTTTTATCATTCTCTCTCCGCTAAATTCGCTGTTAACTTTTACTTTCTGATATCTGTTCTCAAGATAACTTTTGAAGAGATTTAAAGTCGGTCCTCGTATTCCCGTATCCTCCAAGGCCTCTAATAATAGTCCGTGATCTACGGTATCAAAGGCCTTTGCAAAATCCAGAAATACAGTTAGGGATGGCCTATTTGCATCTACCGATTGATAAGTCTTTGTCAACAGTTCCAGAATTGCATCAGTTGTAGAGAGCCCTTCTCGAAACCCGAATTGTTTATTAGATATGATTTCGTATTTGTTTAAATAATCCTTTAATCTAGTGTTTAATGCTTTTTCTATAATTTTTGTAAACGTTGTGATTAATGTTATCGGTCTGTAATTTGTTAACATTTTCTTGTTGCCTTTTTTAAATATTGGTATTACCAATGATTTTTTAAGTTCACTAGGAAATTCCC